ATATTTTTGCATATTTTGCATATGTTTGCATATTTTGCATATTTTTGCATATTTTGCATATTTTTGCATATTTTGCATATCGACAATGCATATTTTGTATATTTTTTGCATATATTTAACGCATATGTTTGCGTAGCATATTTTGCATATTTTTTGCATATTTTGCATATTTTTGCATATTTTGCATATTTTTTGCATATTTTGCATATTTTTTGCATATTTTGCATATTTTTTGCATATTTTGCATATTTTTTGCATATTTTGCATATTTTTTGCATATTTTGCATATTTTTTGCATATATTTTGCATATTTTTTGCATATATTTTGCATATTTTTTGCATATTTTTTGCATATTTTTGACATGACCCCAAATACCGATCAATTAAAGCATGAAACGCCTAATAACTAACCAGAACTGCAATTTAAAAACGATCCGAGCGTGATTTTCCTGGTATGGTGCGGTAATAGATGTACGAAACAATATCAGAATAAGTAGACCTCCGTAAATAGTTACTTCCACATCCGAGTTATAAAGTGTTTATTTCAACGACAACCAAATTCATCACAAACTCCAACGAACGTGAAACAAATTACATAGCGCTCTTTTACACTATTCGTCGTTTTGTAACAAGCAGACCTTTTGTGAACAACATAAACGTACCAAAACAAAAAGTAGATTTTTTTTATTATTTGTGAATACATTTACGCTTAAATTATAACATTTACAGCCTGTTTTTGTAAAATTCCAAACGAACGAATTCGAGTGACTTACGACCAAACTCCTTGGTTTTGAAAAATATGTCATTTATTTTTGTTTTGAATCAGAAAACATTGATAAACATAAATAAAGGTTTGGTGTAAGTCAATATTAACATTTGGAGAGTGCCATCTAGTGACAAGTAGTGTTACTATAACAGCATCATAAAAGCTGTTGTCTTGGCTAGGCGTCAAACTGAAAACAGGGTGTAAATACAAGTGCTCATACAAATATATCAAAAATGGTATTCAAATCACAGTGGTCTAAATATGCACGCATCGATTAACCCAATAAAAGGAAGAATATTGAGAAAAGCGTCGATGTAATGTATAGTATTGTTTTCAATTTTTTAATTATTATTTGAAAATGCTTAATGCTTAAATATTTGTAAAGGAATTCACATTATTTCCGTAATACAAATTTAACGTATTTATTTAGAATAAAATTGCTTCAGTTCTTTAAAAATTTACATAGTAAAAAAATTATTATACTTACACTTAAAATTAGCAGTTATACAATTAAACATATTAATAAAAACACTTTTAAAAAATATAGAGAAAAAAAACTATAAAAAAAATCTTAAAACAACAATGAAAGGCATTGATTCCACAGGCCTATCGCAAACACCAGCAAAACTTTGTTTTTGGCAATCGCTATTTATTTTTGATTCGTTATCGTTGTTTTCTAAGCAGTCATCAGCAACTGAATAAAATGTTATTATTGCAAATTTTTAGTCATAACGACAAAAATTATATCTTTCTGAGAAATCACAAATAATTTTCTTTAACATTTCTTAATAACAAATTTAATACATAAATATATTTGTAAATAACATATTTATCAGTGCAAAATGTGATTCGTTTTTTGTAGATAAAATAGACTAAGTTGATATTTCATTTAAAAACTAAAAAGCTAATTCAGAAAGCATATCTAAAAATAATAATCAACGGAATAACAATAATAATAACACATTTACATATTCATATAAGGCAAACCTATTATTTCTACCATCATTATGTTTACCCAGTATACAAATTTGAAAACGTTTCTTATATGCTGTAGTTTGTGTAAAAATGCGCATAATTTAGACATCCATTCCCAAATTCGGTAAACAGAGTATTCTTTATACCGAAGATTGACCGTATTTAATTATTATCGTAAAAAACTGTTGGTACCAAAGGTTTGGACAAGGACAGTACGCTGCCAGTATTGAAGTACTATTTTAGCACTAAAGTCTGATGGAACTAGCAGACATGGTTCCATCTTAAACACTTAAAAAATCCATGCATGTACCAAATTCCAAAGGGAATTTTTATAGCAAGCTATATCGTTGGTCTCCCGTCCGTCTTTAAAATATCAACAAAAACAAGAACCCCATTCTGTTGCATAGTGTATTTTGTTGTTATATTCTTACCAACGAAAACATGCAAATTAAATAATAAAAAAAGAATCATTGCATCAATGTTTATTCTTCTTATTATGGTATTTTATGTAGACTTTTGCTTTATTTGCTTAAAGCTAACACAGAATACATACATACATGCGTAGATAGATAGATACATACACTTAATCACGAGATAACTTAACAAATAAATAATAGAAGAAATATGAACTATGTGGAGCTGGCTATTATTTAACACCAAACATCAAATTATAGCCACTCTCGTCCAAATGGACACCTTGGGTGTTGGTAAATGCGATCGATTTACCCTAAACAAACATCAGTCTTATCATAATAAACTATGGGGGGTTCTAACTTGACATTGAAATACTGGCAAACAAACATATCTACACGGAAGGTGTCATATGCGTATACGACTTAACGATAATCTAATTAGGTTGGCAACCCTCTTTCCATGAATCGAGGAAATGCTCTAATATCACAGTTCTGTATGAGAAATATACAACAATACGAGTACTACTACTACTACTACAGCCACGTGCTTGTGATATCCAGCTAACTGTCCGATTTCTGTAGCTCATTGATGGTGTAGACGTTTATGGTGGGCGTGCTCGGCGCCTGGTTGGTGTTATCCTTCGGCGGCTGATCAATGGCAAAGGGTATGACAAAAATGCTGGTCTTATTGGCATGCTGCAACTTCATGACACTGTCATAACTAGGCGGAGCAAATTCACTGTAGGACGGTGAGGGTGTCGGCGGAGGGATGGGAGTTTCGTTCGCATTCAATGGCGGATTACGTGAAGTGTCGGCACATCGTCGATCAGAACAAGCCATCAGCAGAAAGAAAGCGGCCAATGCCAAAAATGTTGCCACATACCAAACGATGGTAATGATGTCCATGGCTGTTTGTGATAACTCGTTGGTACCTTCGTGCACTGCTGCAAGAGACAACAAACGACAAAAAGAGAAGAGAAGTGTCATTAATAAATCATTTAAGATAACCGCAAGTGACATAAACATTATCTGCACAAACACGCCCCATTTTGCACAGCCCAGAGGCGTCACAACATTGTCTTCCTGCCAGAGACTTTCGAGAGTTCGTCACAATTGGCGTAATAAATTACGAAAATATTTAATTGAATACTTTTGTAAATATGGCTTAATAAGCACTTTATTATATTTGCCCCGTTTTGAATGTTTTGTTATTATTCTTCTGTCAACATCTGTGATAAGGATCGGATAGCTAGTGTGTGCGAGTGTGTGTTCTTTTGAAATGCGCTACACATCAAGTGCATGAATTATTTTTGTAGGTACTTATATGGCCTATGGGAGGGATGTGATGATAGCCACCACTTGTGGAAAGTGTGCAGCTGCATTTTCTCGAAAGTTGGCAGAAAACTGAAGCAATAGATATTAATTGGTTATTGTGAAATACTCGGAAGACATTTTATTGGAGTAGGGAATAAAATAATAAAAGCTAACTATTTTTTACAGAGAATTTGTGGATGATAAGGAATATGTAAAACTAAGTAATTACAAATTGTATACTTTTTTCTCACAAATAAGGCAAATATTGTCGTAGTACTCTTCCAATAACTTTGTTCAAATCACAGTGTTTTAGATAAACATCGGAAATTTGGAACATACATTACTATTCTCACATGGAACACAACATATATCGGTCCACATTAATATCGCTTTTTAATGTTACAAATTATCAGTTATGGAGTTCAATGGGAGGACCTCCTCAGAAATATTTCATTTTGGTAAAAGGTCATCCCGAATATAAATGCAGCTTTTGTCATTACTCCCAAATAAAGGTTTGATAACTATACGCGAATATTTCGCGCGTTCGTTTGCTCAAAACTGTTAGGTTAAGAATTAGTTATGATGATATTTTAACACTTTCTATGAAAGTACATGTACATTGCCTTTAAGTTGGGTATTTTTTCTCAAATCGCTATGGCACTGCTTTTACCAGCCGAGTTTTTTTATTTCAATACAATATAATTTAAATATTTCACTTTTCTATTTCGACAACTGTTGGTATATAGCTAGGCGCACCACACCCGATCTTTATTTAAATAAAAAAACTGTGTCATATCACTTTGTTGTATTTCTTCGAAAGCAGTTCTATAAAATTATCTTTTGAGGGGATTTTATTTCAGTTGCCTCAATATTATATAGCCACCGTATATTACACATTTAAAGATAATTTGCAAAAGACAAGAGCTTAGTATCTTGACATAACATGAACATTAAGAGTCACTGACATCTGATTAAAAATTGCGTGATATCGTTCACCAGAGAAAAAGTCCGTAACTGCACATATTTTTATGGGGGTAAATTAAATTTTTTTCGAAATACCCTTTAAATATCATAGATGTTTTTTTTTCAATATTTTCTCACTACTTTGTTTCTATGTTGGCATCCGAATAATATTTTATTTTGACAACTTCTACTTACTATTTTGCACTAAAATTATTGTGGAATTATTATTACTGCCACTATCCGATTCTGAGCTCGAGTCTGTATTATTTGTTTCACTTGTGTATTGTCTAGTGTTTGGCGGTGGGTCCCGGTACAGCTGATCAAAATTACGCTGATGATGGCCAATTATAAAATGGTAGGACTGGCCAAGTGTACCTTGCAACAAAACGCTTACAACTGAAAATAGAAAACAAGAGCAAGAGCAATATTAATGTTAAAACAAAATTATTATTAATAACAACAAAATATATATATGAAGAAAGAGTGTAGATAAGGTCCGAACGGTGTTTGGTTGGTAATGGTTGGAATGACAAAGCAACGGTGGGCGAATGAAATACCTGGCAAAAATCGATATCTTATCTTTCTGATGTCAGTCTGACATCGCTTACCTAGACTCTGATTTTTTTGCAAAGTTCGGGTGGTCTTTTATAATGTAGGTGCCTGAAAATGTATTTGTGTACATTTGTTTTAGTTATGTATGTACTGCTGGGGTGTCAATATGTCCGGGTAGAGCTGAGTGAAAAATTTCCAAGTTTCCTTGTTTCTGTGTCGATCTCTAATATTGAATTGCTTGATTAAAAGGGTGTGTTGATTTATTACCAACATTTTGATAATAAATGCCTATTTAAAAACGTGAATAAAAATAAACGTTTGTTTTTAAAAACACCCAGCCTGCCTGAAAGGTTCTATAATCTTAAAATTTCATCTTGTTAAAATAACAGCTACACATGTGTGTAAATGATCGCTAGTCTCCCATTCATCGATCACCTGAGGCACCTTGACTTATATTTCAAAAAGCTCTTCACATTTTGGGGATTATGGTTACTTAAAAGAAAACACGACAACTGTTTGTAAACAACAACAACTAAATATTCAAGTACGCAAAAAGAAAGACAAATTGCCCAGAATATTCCCCTAGAAACAAAATTATTGAAGTCCGTAACTATGTATGAATGCTTAACAATAATATCGTGATATGAAGAAGAAATATAGAGAAATTACCTATATTTGATTCCAACTACAATGTGGCGTTTCTTTAGCATATCACATCAAAATAAAAAACTTGTAGTTATGAATAAAAATTATAGCGCCACAATTGATAAAAAAACTATAAATATTTTCCCATAAAACAAAGAATTCCTAACATTAATAATAATAATAATAATAATAAACTTAATGAATTGTATACAAATCGACGTGGATATTTTCATATAGCAAAGCCTATCACGGCTGGTTCTATCCTAAATTAATTACCTCTTATTGACGATAATTCGAATACATTTTTATTGTTTTTTTTTTTCAAACTAATGTCTCACCATCACTTGAACATCGATTGGAAACACCGCTTGTTGGTCATTTGTTCTGACGAAATAAACATGAATCACAAACTCGTTTATTTCATTCAGAAATTCTAACAAAATGTCCATAACGCTTATTAACTTTTTAAAAATAGTAGAATATCGAAAAATGTCAATAAAAAAAGAAATTAACATATTAAAACAGATGACGTGATGACATGTGTTTATTAGCAATAAAGAACCGTTAGTAACTATTAAATTAACGGTAAACAAAAAATCGGAAGCGACAATGGGTGCATGGCAACGACAGAACTTGACGCAATATCTTCATTTCTTGTGAAATATGTGGAGATTTGAAGTATTTGGAGAAAAATAATTACATGTGCGGAAGTGCTTAACAATTAAATTGCTAATCTCTATAATTGAAAATATTTTATTTATTATCGTATTCAATATTTTAAAGTATTTATCTCTTAAAACAACCATTTCCTCTTTAATATGATGTGTGATGATGTGTAAATTAGTAGGCAGATCAATGATTTTTATAATTCAAGCTAGAGTTGTTTTGAAATTAATTTGCTCTCTCCCAATATATAATTTCAAAAAATTAAATTACCATGAAAAACATGGTTTGAGAACTAAAGATACCACATACTTGGATCGTAACCGTCCGAACTTTGAAAACGTGTAGTAGAATTCATGTTTCTATCCAGTTTTGGGAATGATATAAATTTAGTTTATGAATTATAGCAATTTGAGTGAATCGACAATTTTATTGTAAACCAATTGCATTTCTTTAAGAAAAAACTTTTTTCATCAATGAACTGTTAAGGATTGGTATGCTAAATTTATGGAGTGAACGCATAAACGTGTTTTGCCTATTTTGAACCAAAGGACAAAAGTCTTTATGATATGTGTATCTGCATAGAAGAGAGTTATATAACGAATTTCGGAAAAACAACTTCAACAACTTCCGACGTTGCGACTACATCTGATGTAGTCAAATTTTAGTAAATATGTACCATTATACTCCTCCAAATCACCGTATCCATATCAGTGTCAAATATACTATATACATTTAGTCTGTGCCTGTACTACAAGAATTTACTACTTTTTACTACGATGATGAATTTTCCTTTATAATATCAAAGAAAATAGTAAAAATCTAGTAAATTCTCGCAGTACGGGAACAGACCAATTATTATAATGATGTCGGGCCCACTCCATACAACTTTCAAAACAATAATCAATTATTTCTTTTACTAATATTCCTATGGAATATCCCCAGTTAATGGAAATTTCCAAAAATCTTTTTCGAACATTTGCCACACATTCATGGCTTCTTTAAAAACGTTTGCAAAAAAATCGACATAAAAAATCAAAATTTATTATAACAGCTAGTTAGAGTGGTGTGACATTGCCATTTATTGCATCACTTTATTTAAATGAAAAAAAAAAAAAAAAACATAAACAAATGTACAGCAACGGAATTGAGTACATGGAAACCAAAAGTAAATGTCTACTGTCCGATTTCGAGTTGAAGTGGTGACCGCAGTTGAGTTCTCGTATTTTCTTAATTTAATTCGAAAACAATCTTTTCTAATTGAACTCATTTACATTTCGCCACCCAACAGTTTTCAAGATCAATGGCACATCGACACAGACAGACAAACAGTCCGACTGGCGGGCAGAAAGTATGGAACTCACGTTTCCTACCATGGGAAGCATTTGATGCGATTTGTTTTTCGAGAACAATTGATTTAAATTAAAACATCAACATTTCATATTCATATCGATTGCGATATCGTGATGATTGTGTAGTCGAGACTCGCCCGAAATAGATTGCAAAAAAATCAGGTGCTTAAAATCGCTGTTACAGCAAATAAAAAAGGGGGAAAACACTTTTAAAGCCTATGCTAATGTGAGAAAAACATTCAGAATGCTGTTTAACATTGGAAACAACAAAAAATAATATTACTTATTTGTTATTATGTATTATCCCCACCCCCTACACCAACATGTTATCGCGTTTGAATAAAAGCTAAAGCTTTTTTCGCCTGTAAACAATATAATACGGTAGTAGCCGCAAAATAAACAATCAATCAATCGCCACAAACATTAGGAAATGTTAATGATTTAATAACACTTTTAAAATCTCCTTTATGGCGTGCTAAAATATAATGAATGTGCAATATTGCTTTGGTTTTGTCGCTCTTATGATAGCTTATTGTCTCTAAGAAGTACTTTAACCCCTTGTGAATTTTGGGGGAAAAAAGAAACGCGGTCTTTGGTTTTATTTTGCCATTAACTTCGGTTAATGCTATTAATGATATATCGTCGATTTTTTTATTTGAACAACAAACATTTACGTATATGTATATAAGTAATTAATAGGATTTCATTTTTTTATTCATGAGCCGTTTATTTCGTGAAAGCAATAAAGTTATCATTGAAGAAGTTCAACTACTTCTTATATCGGTTTTCAAAAGGATTTTAAAGATAATTGTCAATTTGTTCGATTCCTTTAACGTTCTACAAACAACCAATTTAGGTATGCAAAACTTACAAATCTAAATACAATAATTCCTCCCAATTTTGATTTAAATTATGATTTAAATAAAAGATTATAAATTAAATTGGCTCAATATTGTATGAAATTGCACCGATGTACATATATAGTGAGGCTCTTCTGAAAGGGCGACACTAAGATATAGACTTAAATTTAAATGTTGCAGTTAAGTTTGTAGTTCCCTAAGTGTAATTGAAGCAAAAATGCACGTAAATCCTTTAAAAATTATTACATATGAAATTGTACTATAATTATATATGGATTTGTAGAACATAGAAACATATTATAGAAAACCATTTGCATATAGCATGGTGCACAACATTTTAAAGAGAACAGAAATTATGAATGTATAGCCGATTTATTTTAAAAGGTGATTTCAAAAAAGCACTCCCAGACTAAGCGCCAGGTAATCCGAAAACGATTAATCCAATCAAATCCATTGTTTCTATACATGCTCCCTTTAACCCCATTATTAATCAATTGACTTAACAAAGTAATTTAATCTAGTAATAACCAATAGATTTAATTCAATTTAAATTCAGCTCGATTAACCCAAACATGTGATAAACAAAGCATTTCTATGCAATTTTCAACCATAACTGCGTCTTATAAATGAGTCCATCATAAATGCATTTCATGGGAATCAAAGAAATGTCGTAGTACTTTCGTTGCTGCTATTGAATATGAATTTTAGTAGGTATATCGGCAACTTTGATAACAAATTATCACAGCAACTTCATACACTATATCGCAATCAGGAAGGTCTACGTCTTTCCAATGCAAAATTATATTTCATTGTGAAATGGTATGCAAACTTGTATGAAGGTGTGTGTGTGCGATCAAATATTAAATTGTCTCATTTGTTGTTTTAATTTGTTAACAATGTTATGATAAATGCTATGGCCCGGTTCATGGCCAACAGCTGAACAAACTTGCGGAAAATTAAACTTTCGAAAGTCTACACTCTAGGAAATCTTACATTTTAAAAAAAATCAAACAAAAACCACTTCCAATTTAAACACACTCAGTCAAAGTCACAGTTAATCGATTAACGTTCCGCGTTCTTACCTGTAATTATGAATGGCCAGTATGGACGGTGTTTAATGGGCGACGTCATTGTTCGGCCGGTAACTGTCAAAAGCGTTGATGATGAATGGCAAATGGTTAGGTGACGACTTCCGTAGAGTTTTTTCAACTTTTGAACAGACACACACACACACAGAAACACTCCAAAGGCAAACAATCGTAAATAATTATATTTTTTATTATTTATTTTTCTTTTTTTTACCAAAAACACTTTACGCCCCCTTTTGGTGAGTTGTCTTTGATCTCCGCTGGTTAATAACCGGTAATGTGTCTATGTTTCGTTGTCTGATGACGGTCTGTGTGTTTTTATTTTCGATTGCTCTCCTAAGAAAACTAATATCTGCAGAATTCTGACGTTGTATCGTAGACTACATATAAATATATTTAGACGGAAATATTTTCGTTGTTAGTGTAACCGAAAGATGAAAACTATTTTTACAAGAACCACAGAGAATTGCAATGCACTCGACGATATTTATTTATACGTTCGACTATTCGTCTGTCGCGCGTTGCAGGGTGTGCGCGTCTTTATTTTTTGCTCGGGTTTGGTAATAACGCTTAAAGATGCAAGAAGTGCGCACGCCAGCACATTCGACTGTCAACTGTCAAGTTCAAGATTGTTTACGTTACTGATCGCTGATCGTGTAGACCAACAACCGTCAACCAGCTGAAACTGACTGATCAGAACACTGTAGAACGCAACAACAAAAACAACAAGCAAATAAGCCAACCCGTTTCGTTGGTACTCATAATACCGACAATATGGAGAGACTTTCAATTGGTATTGATGTTGTTGTCATTATTATTGTTGTTGTTGTTCTGTCTTTCGATTTAACAAATACTGGCTGAAGCAATTGCAGCAAAAGTGGTTTGGTTTGTTTACTTTTCATTCGGAACTGGCTGTTGTTGTTAGCCGTATCGCTTACTCACTTTCGTTGTCATGGCACAAAGAGATAACAACAAACAAAACTCCAGCAGCAGCAGCAACAACAACAATAACAACCACGACAAAACGATAACTTAACAATAACAGCAACAATAACAACAACAGCACATTTAATTTCGCAAATTTGCATTGAAAAAAAAAACATTTGATGCTTTTATTCTGTTGTTGTTCCCATCTAAGAGAGGTTTAGCACGTAGTCGGCGTCATGATGTATTTCAGCGTATTTAGCAAAGATTAACAACAACAACAGCAACAATAACAAACAAGCCAACAAGGTGATGATCAAAAGTTCTTAGAGTGACCAGATGATAATGGATGGTTGTTGGATGCATGATCATGTGCCAATATTAATGAGGGCAATCTGAATAACTGGAATACTCCTGTCACTGTCATTGCCACTGCCATAAACAAGTCTCTAAATATTCTTATCGTTACATTTAAATATTTACTCGGTTAATTGACACTAACAACAACAACGGGCATGCCCATTTGCCGTAAAACGAAAAAAAATCATTTGCTTTTATTGACAGTTACTGGCAATAAACTTCGACACGGGCAAATGTGGGTAAAAGGGTTCGATGTTCGTTCTATGTACCACTCGAGAAATGTGACAGTGCTTGCTTGCAACGAGCATTCACTTAAATTGGGTCATTTACCAGTCAATTAATTGCGTTCTCAATCTACTTTATAGGTATGTTTGGTAAATATATGGAAAGCAATTCAAAAATAGTATATCTACGTGTGCTTTAAATGTGCAATTAATAAATTCAATTAGAATCGCATATTTACAATGTCATTATAAAAATTTTAATATAGTTGCAAAAATAGATTTTGATGAGGGGTACAATAATGATGACTGACAAAGACCACAATATTATACCCTATAACATATACAGTCAACATCCGGTATATCGAATGATATATTGTCAGGCCCATTCGTTATAACGTAATTGCGAATTCATTAAAAAAACAGAATTCACATTTCAATGCCTTTCTACTAAAAAAAAAACATAATAATTAACATAATTACAATAATAATAATAACATGTTTTATATGATAAACCCATTATTTTTGCGCCATTCCTCATGCCCGGTTAGAAAAAAACTAGAAAAACACTCGTTATAACGAGCGTTGACTGTAGTAACTTACGGTCCAAGTATTTATCTACACTCCTGATGAAAAGAAGATGGTAGGAAACACCACCTACAGTCTAACTTTCATATGTCGATGTCTCCATAAGTCGATGTTTTAATCGTGATATTACACTTTGGAAAAAAAGTTGAATCGGATTCCAATTATCACAAGATGCAATACTCTATAAACATGTTAGGAGATTTTAGCAGGGGTCCTCAAAGACGAGACATCGACATTTTAACGTTTAATTGTCTATTCTCAATTTCTCAGTATGTGTACCTTATTATTTTCGAAAATCATATATAGTTATGTCAAATACGTCAAAAAAAAAAAAAAATCTAAGAAAAAATATGTCGGCATTTTCAAAGATTCAAAGATTTCCAATAATCAACATGACAGGCACTGCAGTCCATGTCTTTAACTATGCGTCTTTTTTTAATAAATCGTATTTTTGGCTTTCATTGTAGACACCATAAGAAAGTCATGGTAACATTTCTCTTTCATCCACAGCAATCATAAAACTGAGTCATAAAAATTAAACCAAAACGGAATAACGGTTTACAAAAATTGATGAAATGATTCACCGATTGAAAAATTTAAATCCCAAGCAAAAAAAACAAAGACTTGTTAAACACAAAATGTGGTTTTTCAAGACAAAGCTTTTTCGAAACGGACGTAAATGAACAGGGAAACTACAGACAAGTTTTATATATGTATATATGCTGTAGATGTGTAAAGTAGGTAGTAAACAAACGAATACGAATTTATTGGCAATTGACAATTCTTTGAAAGTGAAATACGCTTTTCGAATTTACCCCAATCCTAAAAGTATGCTACAGTAGTAAACATGTTTGTAATATCATAAATATATATTTTGTATTTATTAGGGATATGAATCGACACAGGGTGATCAAAACAAATAAATAAATTTTAATTAAGTAATGCTAAGAACCATGATAAACAAAAGGAGGTAGTTTAAAACTACAATTCAATTAGATTTTTTCTCGTTTGGTGACCTTTTTTGTCAAAACAATAACTGAATATTTATTGTATTAAAGCATATAGAACATTTGGAAAATATTCTCAAATACAGTTGTAATAAAAATATATTCGTGAGTGAAAACTTTCGCGGTTGTGGCGGAAAATTGTAAAATATTAGCAAACCAATATTTTTAAAAATCTAAAAACTGCATTATTTTATTGTCATATTTTTCATATTTAATATAATTACACAAAAATTAAAAATTAATTTATGAGCCATGAGAAATTCTACATTTTTAGAAACAAGGAAAATTATATTGCAGTCTGTCAAAATGTACTAAAGTATTTCCCAAGTTTTATTTGAGATTAAGTTCGAAAGTTGTCCTTGTATCTCTTTATATTTAACAATTTTTATTCCATGAATTTGTGGTTTTATAACGAGAGGAAGATCGACATAGTTTGAATTGCCATAAGTACCCTGAAACCAATTTCGCCCAAACCTAAAGGGTATATATGAAGAAGGTGAGTTCAAATATTTAGTTCTTATATTTTGTGAATGTTATTAATTATAATAAAGTCGAATGTATATTAATGTCGTTCCAGCGACTATCGGTCCATTCCAGCTTCATTAATTTCCAAATTTTTGAATTTCCGAAGGTTTTTTTTGTTTACTTCTGTAGCTAAATAAAACTGAACTGTTTTTTTTTTGTGTTTAAATTTTTATTTTGTACATAATTATTTGTATATGCAATGGTGTAAATGTTATCAAATGGTTACAATAATTTCTACAATTTGTTACAATTTATTACATACTGGCTAAATTGCAAATAATTATTATTAATATTATTACAAATGGCTAAGGAATAAATAATATATTGGAGAGTTGGGAAACTTGTGGCAGTTAAATAAATAGTTTCAGAATAAAATTGTGTGCTCATGTTAAATATTTTCCTACAAGATTAAGTGGGGAAAACTATGAACAGATCACATTCGGCAGATTATATTAGATGAAGACTTTTCTATTTGGTTCTTTTCTTTTGGTGGGCAGTTTTGTTTGTTCAACGGACTGTACAATTCAAAAACATATATACTTTGAAATAAAAAAAAAAACAAACAAACATAATTTGTTACAAATAATAGTCGTAAAAAATAATAATCCTATGCAAATAATACAAAGTAAAAAAAAGAAACTTACGAGTTAGAGAAACGAACAAAGCTATAAATACTTCACTGATTTGTTATTCTTGCATTCTGTCTACATTGTTTTAGTCGGCGACATAACATCTACATGGAAATGGCCAAATTTCGTATTGGCTCTCATCTAACTGCCGCCCTACAGCGTATGCATCACTTAACGACGACTAACAACTAAACTTAAAAATTAAAAATATTTTAAAGATTCGTTTGCTTTCAAAAGAGAACGGCACTTAAATTATGGAAAAGTAACGAGATTTAATTAGCGTTGCTTAATTTGGCTGAGGTCTCTTTGTCGTTGGTAGTAGTACTGATTAAATGTTTAACTTAGTAAGGGTTGGTTTTGAAGTAGTTGTATACATCGGGCCAAGCAGCCAGGACGTAATCCTCAATGTCGCACTCGTTGGAGCCACGTAAAATGCGGAAGTAGCCATGTTCACCCCACCATGGACCCCATGAATTGGCAGCAATCTGAAAAGTGAGAAGAGACAATAAGAATCCAGTGATCGTCCAATCTATGCATTTTCGAACTTACCCAATATTTGACACCGTCATGTTCCTCGCCCCAGCCGACCAGTTTCACTGAATGGAATCCAACGGGGGCATTGCGGCTAGCGGCAGTGTGGCGGTACACACCACCAGAGTATGAGAAGAAATCTCTGTACACGCGCATGGTGGCCTGAACAGGGCCAGAGTGGAAGATCTCGGCCATTATGTCAGTTTCATTACGAATGGAGTAAGCGGGGCCGACCTTGTATAAGCCATCGCGATCAACACCAGCAGCTGGTTTGCAGCCATTAGCAGAAAGGGAATGGTGATGAACCCTGCAGGCTTCACGTCGTCCAACATAGGGATAGCAATTCTCATCAAGAACACTAAAGAAATACAGCAAACACAAATGGTTAGCGCCCCTGTTCTTCTCTACACTATAAATATCCTCATCTTACCCTGGTTTATGCAAATAACGCCATGCAGCATCCAAATGACCACCGTTGCAACCTTGTTGTTTACGTGTGCAGGACAGAATATTTTGTGGTGAAAGTTGGATCACTTCCTTGCCACGACTAATGATGGCAAAACGATCAGAGGCCACAGAAGTTGTTGAAAGAACCCAAGATGAACCACACCAACCTTTAAAGCAAATCAAAAAAGTTTTACCAATGCAAAAAATATGCAAATGGGCAGAGGGAATTACCTTGATCAGGCACATCAGATATATATCCCGACCATTTGTCGATGGCATTGAAATTTTTGGGCAATCGTTCGGCTTTGCTGTGCAAACCAACCATGCTCTTGACACGGACGGTGGGTTCCTTGGTTCCCAAACGTTTGGTCAAACCCTCGGAGTATTTGTGGCCCCACCATTCGCTGTATTTGCGTGCCGACCAGCCCAACATGTTGATGGAATTGATGTTGCGAATCAAATCATCGTCGGTCAAACACAAATCTGTGTCGCATTCCACAACACCACCTTCCAAGCAACGGCACTCGTTGCAGTTGTCACGTGTCGTATTGTATTTGGAGAAATGGACGCCATTGTGCAGGCAAGTAATAATTGGATCAGGTTTATTGTGACAGAAGGAGAGATAGTCAGGACAGCAATCGCCGGAACGATCACGATCGCAGAAAGCATCACAGTAGCACAAAGTGTCTGAAAGCGAAAATTTTCAAAAGGTAAGTTACATACATCCATTTCTTGATTGCAAGTCCACACTCGAGCTTACCTGCAATTGGTACTGCACAACTGTCCTGTCTGTCATCACAACATCTGTTGATTTTCTGGCAATAGGGTCCGGGGAAATCTCTGCGAAGGGTTTCGTCGAAACCCTGTGAAACTGAAACTAGAGCTAGCAAGCATGTTGTCCACACTGCCAGCTGCCTGAAGCCAAGCATATTACTATTGGCCATATTCTTCACACAACGCAACAACTGTCCTTCTCGATAATGGGTTGTCTAACCAAAATATCTGTCAAATGATAAGAATGGAAAATAAAATATTTAGTTCTCTTCTTATTGTCGATCGTTATTTATTTATTGGTAGTGGAAAAAAGTGAAAACATGTAAAAACCATTAAGTGATTGTGGAAATTTGTGCAATATTCGAAGCTAATAGAATAACATTCGGGTGGTTGGTTTACGAATATGTTTTGAAGTCAACATTAGGACTTACTATAAAAAACAAACTAAATTTCTGGACTTGAAAATATTTATGTACTGGATAGTATATCAAAACACATATTAAATATTTTATTGGCATTATTGTACACCTCCACCTTAATACACATTCAAATAAATGGTACAGTCATATTTGTTTCAAAGCAAACAATTATCAAAGAGCATTGTAGAAATTGCGAAATCTAAACCACTGATAAGTAGAAGTTGGTCCCATTTTTCGTACTTCAGCATCTCGATAAGATACCAAGACTATCTGTCACATCACTGTTTGTTTACTTCTTATTCTTGTTGCTGCTGCTGCTCTCGTTATTTGTTGTGTTGTTCTTTTTTATTTTTTGCGTGAATGGCCCAAAAACTTCGACAATTGATTATTTTTGCTTTAAAGTGTACCCTTTACTTTCAATACAGATATAAAAGTCAAAGTCACAGTTTATTTGATCAAACGTACATTTTGGATTTTTTTTATTTTTGTTGAAAAACAAAGAAAAGACATTTCTACTCGACATTTTACCATTAATATTAATGTTTACTATGCATCTTTAAAAATTGAGTTGAACAATGCGAAATGGTGTGCGTTTTTCCGATCTCGATACGAGTCTAACATCCACACACTTCACAGTCATTGTAGTTCAGTGTAATCGGTTCGACAAAATCGTATCAAACCACATAAGCAGATCATAATTGTGGCGAAACTGGTAATAAAAATCAGAACTTGTGGACAACAAAAACAACACAATAATAATTACAACAACAACAATAACAAAACCACAACACCACGATTTATGAACAATTAATAACAAATTTGCAAATAAAGTGAAATGGCAGAATTGCGTTGTCGTCAATAGACCTGCCGCACACATTCATCGGCACAAACATTGATTTTGGTAATGCTCATCATCATTTTAGCCAGGTTGTTTGAATCACAAATATGTATATCTTTATAATGGCATTAACTAGGGAGAACGACGACGACAACAACAACAACAACTCCACTGTTGTTGTTTGTATTATTCAGACATTTGGTTGTTTCTAGATAAACAAATGGACTAAATTGAATAAATATTAATTTGTTTTTATTTTTCGTTTTTGTTTTAGAATATTGTTATTGTTTTTAAGGTAATTCTATAGTTTTCTTCTGCTCGCCGTTGCTCTATTGTTGTTTTTTTATAACAAATAACATTGTTGTTGAGAATGTTTTTTTTTTATTTGTTGCCTTTCTTTTTTGGTGCTGAATGAGGTCTTTATGTATATGCTTGTTTTATGCTTGGCCCCCTCCATACATATAAATGTACCGGCTGCCTGTCCGTCCGTACGTCCGTCCGTCTGTCTGTCATCTATTCAATATTCAGTTCACTGCTAATGTTCATATAAATGATCGAATTTTAATCGCATAAATAAGCATTTCAACTGCCAAACCTGAATGGTGAACTTTAACGATTTCAAGAAGATTAAGCGAAAGAGATTTACTGCTTTTCCAAATCAATGCAAATTACGTACGAAATTATTGTAAACAATTCATTATAACGTTCTTTTCTGTTGGTCTGTTGTGGGGTAAAATGACGTCAGATCTAAAAAAAGGTTTTGTGCTTAATACAATAATTATGGATTTTAATTAGATAATAGTTTTGGAATTTATAATTTTGGTCTATTTGGGAATTAACGAAATACAGCTCAATAATATTGAGATTTGTTTAAATTAGCATTTATGCTTATTAAGGGGTGTTTCCAGAATATATTCATTGTTTTTCTTTGATGACCTATGAAATGCGTACCGGTTATTTTGTTTTGAATTGAGGGAGTATGACGACACATCGATTTAAAATAGCTTCCGCATTTCACTGGATTTTTTTTTAATTGTTTGGGATCAATTTAAAAATATTTTAACATAAATAAATATTTAAAATAAATGTATGGTTTGAGTTTACCTTTACGCATAAATAAGGTCCATATTTTCTTTAGAACCGTCAAGCTATTCTATATTAACCCTTTGTAAATCAAACTATTTTCTGGGGCTAATTATATCTGAAACAATATGTACCATATTAATTACATATGTAACATATTAATAAGTCCTCTTTTTTAGAGGCAAATCATATTTTTTAACAGGCTGCCATCTATAAAATTTACGTAGTCTATCTGGCATCTATTTCTATCGTTGTCATCTTTATTTTTAAAACAATGATCAAATTTTATTTTCGTAAATTAATTGAAATTAATAAATAAATTTTATGAAATTTCAGTGAAATAGAAAAGGTGTCCAAATTTCAGGGTTTCTGGACAAGTTTTTCAACTGAATTGGCTGTAATTTCATACATATTTTGTTTTCTGGGTTTCTAGGTGTCCCCAATATAAAGAAACCCACTTTCTTTTTTGGCAGTAACTTACTATTATTCGGTTTGAACCAAAAATTTGGCCCGGTCTTATTTAACAACTTTTTACCTCATTTTACTATTCATAAGTAAATCTGAATGTATGCTTTATACGCATACTATTATTTATATTAAAAATATATTTCTTTCTTTTTGTCATCTATGTTCATTTTCAAAATTTTCAAAATCTGCTCGCCTTAATTAATTATATATGTACCATATTAATTACAAACGCTTAAATTGATGTTAGAAATCAGAATCGTTAAATATTTATAATTATTGCGTAAACTAATGTTCGATACTTAATTTCTAATCAGAATGTAATTGAAACCAACAACATATATGTTAATTCATTTTTTATAAAGCAAATCGATCCCAATGGAGCACATTACTCATTGTTTTCTCTTCATCAAAAATAATTCATTACACGCTGTTACGAAACGAGTTCTTGAACTATGAAATTGTAATTGGTTCATTTTTATAATTTACGCGCAATCTAAAGTGCGTATGAATTACACATTTACGGTCGCAAACCTGGTGATATCATGCTGGTTTTGGAATTTCAAGCAAAATTTGCCGTTACAATTCGTACATGTTGTCTGATTGTGGCATTGTCTCGTGACCAACTCCAGGAAGAAGTCTGGTCATGATTACCACCAATAATATATGAGAACAATGCGAAACCAAAATTAATATTTTATATATTTTTGGAAATTTCCAAATAACTAACTGAACCGGTTTTTATACTACCATGTAATAATTTTATTTTACATAGGCCAATACACATTTATCCATATTGTAAATATGAGTTTTTGTTCAATGGGAGCATACAGCTGATGTTTATAAGGAATTTGACTGCCTTGAGAAAAACGTTGATGCCTTGATGGAGTTGATGGGTCTCTCATTTGTAAAGATAACACCGAAGAAAATATTTTATAGAAGTGGTATTATTCCATTTCCTTACATACATGCTCATTTCGATGACCCCAAAACCTTCTCGGAGACCAAAATGAGGATATAACAATTAATAAGAACGCTTACAAACGTATCTAAACAAAATTGAGCATATATGGAACCTGCTCAAGTCTCAGACCACACTTAGTTTAATGCGTATTGAATTGTGGATTGTCATAATTTATGAATTACATCAGAAATATATTTTCTTACGAATCGAAGTTTTTTCCGAATGTATTTTTCTTTGCCAACACCAAAATATATACAACATCTTCGTATTCGTTTCATTAACAGTAAAAATTAAAAATATGATAATTATGACCAAAAGGAATGCTCGAAGGACCACAAACTGTGGCTAATAGCTTCCAGTTGATGTGATGTTATGCAAAGTAGCTTTCCGGGTGGGTAGGATTAATCTGATCATAAACAAAAGCTGTTTTTGTTTACAACAATTCCAACCGTTACTTAGATTTAGATAAGACAGACAAAAGACAGTAGGTTAACCACAATTCACAAGTTATCTGCTAACTGTTTATTTTCGTTGTTTATGTTTTTATGACGACCTGCAGATCACTGGGCTACATGAATGTGAAGAAGAGCACTTTGCTCTTGTGACGTCGGTATATTTTTTGTAGAGACGACACACTACCATATGACCACCAGACAATTGGTTGTTAATAATTTTTGCAGTTTTAACCAATATTTGCATCATAATGGCAAGATAAAGCCACGAGACAATACACAGTACACAGATTTTGCGGTAATAAGTTTGCAGGAAATTAGTTTGTCTGGCGTAGTTTAATATTGTGGTAGATTTATTGCAACCACAGACGTTTTATGGTTGAATTTTGAGCGGGAATCGCGAATTTTAAATGAGCTGAGGAGGTGGTAGTGATACCGAAAGCGCCCACTCGAGTTTCATGTTTTTTATGATTATTACTCGGGTTTTTAATTTCATTTTGGCAGTCAGCGCTAACACCTTTCCGTACCAACTAAACACTATTCAAAATATGTAAAGAGAAAACGCAAACTAAAATTGCTTACACACAAGAAATTTATGACACCCAGTCAATCGTCTCCAATCCAAAGTACATGTAAAAAAAACCCCACGACAACAACAAGAGGATCCAATGTTCTCCTAGAATAGTTGGTTGATTTTGGTTTTCTTTTGCCTGCCTTTCTGATGACGTTCAACAAATTAATTTATTGGCGGTAATCGCTTTTAGCCTCGGTTTCGCAATAAATCATAAGGTAATTGGAGTTCATCCGCTGTAGCCAACAAGTTCAAGGAACGTAACGGTACACCCAAATTGTAATTACAAGTGTTATCGCCAGCAGTCTATCTGTTGATACCCGATCAGATATCGGAAACAAAATAGTATGAGTTATCATATATTTGTTTCTTTCTTTT